GGGCTCAGGGGATCTCGTAGTCGAGCAGTCTCGACTAGAGCTTTCTTACTTGTTTTGTATTTGTTTTTTTTTTTTTTTTTATAATTCAACTTAAAATTGATTATTAAACTGACTTTTTTTGAATAAAAAAAATATTTGCGTGTAAAGTCAAAAATTGTAATTTTTTCGTTGTGTGTAAAGTGTTTCTTGACATATGTATATACAAGCATTTAGTCAATATATGCATGTAAAATTAGTACATATGTATGTATATATGTGTATATATAGGGGGAATATGGCAGATAACATTGCCAGAATATATGTACACATATGTACATGTGCATGTATGTAGTATCTTACACAAATATGGGGAACTTATCTCGACGGCTATGTCGAAGTGGTGGCGTCGCCGATAAGTAAGAAACCAGGTTGTAATTTCCTAGTCTTGTTTAATAGTATGGTAGCTGAGCAGTTCTATAAAAAGTGTGTAAAACTATGTAAGTCCAGAAGTGTTAATACCAGGAGAGCTGGTTACAAGTGAGCGGGGGGATGTGAATAGAAGTACCCCGCGAACCAGTTGGAGAACAAGGGTTAAGTTATTAACAGATTAGCATGGTGTGGGAGGAGCAATTCTTGCTAATGGGATCTGGCATTAAAAGAAAATTTCAAATGTATGGAATGTAAGCGATAGCCGTAGTTTGTACTATATGCAATGGACATAGTTAGTAATGAAAAGAAGAAGACATCGAATGTGTAGGATGCAAGCGATAAGCAGTAGACATAGTTGCTAGCCGTAAGAAGAAAATTTCAAATGTTTGCTTAAAAAAAGCCGTCAAAGCGCAAATGAAATATCGGCGATCGACGGCACAACCCTGCGTGCTGAGTTCGTGAGCGGAGGGTTGCGCTGCCGACGCCGAGCGCTTTGAGCGTAGATAGAAAAGAAGAGATTTTTAGTTAGTAAGTGGCCACCGCGTAGAACGGACAGAAGTTGATATTTAAGAATTAGTAAGTAGCCGCCGCAGAGAGCAGATGTAAATAATTAGAGTTAGTGAGAGGCTGCCAGAAGAGCTTAGAAGTGTTCGTAAAGTAATAGAAATAAAAGTGAATTAGATTAGAAGGCAATAAGAAAGAAGAGGCGAAAGCTGGCGGATACTCGAAGTAAAGGTGGTGCACGTGAGTCGTAGTTTGAGTTATTTTCCCCTCCTCTGTCCCCTACCAGATTAACTAGAAACGCATAGATGTTTGTTTGTTTGTTCTGTGAGCCTCATCACTGTAGGAGTGCCAGCCAGAGAGCTTGGTCAACAGACCCTAATGGCAAAGCTGTGCTGTGCCGAGGATGCTAGGGCCGTATCCTACTGGCCCTGACATTACTTTTGTAACTTCATCCCTTTTTCAGGAAGCAACATGGACCCATTGTGATAGCTATATGGGGATCATTCGGCACTTCTGTTCACAATAGGTATCCCGCGGCCATTCAGACGCGCTTTCAGGACTGTCTCCGATGACGCGGCGCTCGTCATCGCCGGCATGGTGCCACTGGAGGATTTGGTCGCTGAAGCCGTGGAGCGGAATTCACTCGCGCCTGCGTACAGCATTGCACGATGGCAAAGAAGGTGGAAGAGCTCAACTAAGGGACGAGGGACACACACGCTCATCCCGCTCACCCATGGATAAACCGCGAATACGGCAAGGTTAATTTCTAGCTTTCACAGATTCTCTCGGGACATGGATGCTTTCGGAGCTATTTGAATCGCTTTGGTCACGCGGAAACTGAAGGATGCCCCTGATGCAGACAAAAGCATATGGAAGACGCCAATCACATTTTATTCGAATATGAACGGTTCCTGGAGGAGAGGCATCGTTTAGAAGAGACAGTGGGCCGCTCCATCAGAGCGGACAACGTAGTCAACGCCATACTGGAATCGGAGGTAGCTTGGGAACTAATAAGCACCTTTGAGGCCACAGTCATGACGGAGCTCCGCAGAACCGAGCGAACAATAAGACGAACTGTCCCAGGCTAGGGTAGCGTATAGTGCTTGCGAAGCAATGCTTTACAGTTCGATTTTCAAGTTTCAAACACAGATGCAACGCTGGGTGAAGGTCGATTGGCTCTTTTACTCCTAGGAGTCTCGGAAAGTCACCTCGTACCTGATATAAATATGTTGAGGGCCTTTTCGCGGTGCAAATTCGTCAGTAGTATTTCTTGATCCCTAGATAATTCCATAACCCCTATTCTATTGAGTATGAGAGAGATAATCACAGTCAGACATTTTGTAATAGCATTCCATTCAAGAGAAATGTTGTAGGACTCAAGTGCTGTATCGGCTATTCCGACAATATTGTTTCTAATTGTGTTTATTAAACCAAAATATTTAGGTGTGCCTATCGGAATAAGCGGATAGACAGCGGTCTACACTCTTTTTTCAAGAACTAAATTCTGCCTGGTTTTCTGAAAATGTTTCTAGTACTTTCACTACGTCAGGTACTCTGTCTAAGTCGTCGTGTCTTTGGTCCGAATTTATGGTAACGTCAATATTATTTATGGATTGGGTAGTTTTATTTAGGTTCTCGACTACCATTCTGTTTATAATACCCCCGTCGGGTTGGTGATACTATTGTTATATCTTTAATCTTTATTGTTACAATATCTTAAAAAAAAAAATAAATAAGAAATACTTTCTTTTAATTGTTTGGATGTTATGTTGGGTGTTCTAGCAGCGTCACTACTAATTTGCTGTGGGATGAGTGTCTTACTAAATTGTTTGTGTTT